AGGTAATGGATAGAATGCCAGGAATATCCAGATTTCAAGGAGGATTATGCAGTAGGCTATCCAAGTGCACACATCTCAGAAATATTTTTCAGTTTCAGACATTGTGAGCTATATTTTGGGACTCTGGGTATCCCTACTATAGTCTAAACTATGAGGCTGTTATTCTCCAAAGAGCAAATATATGGGTTCCAACCACTTCCACCTACTTCCACATGGAAGTTTGGCAATGAGTGCACAAATCTAGAGGCAGGGTTGGGTGGGGAGTGGGAGGAGAATAGTTGAAAACATGCAGAGGAATCCACAATGCGATCTTACCCAAAGGCCTCTAAAAATTCTCCCTGGCTCTTTTAAATGTACTTTTCATGCCTTCTGGGTGATGAAATGCACCAACCCCTAGAAAATTCCTAGAATTACAAAGAACTTCATTTTCTCCAGATATACCACACCCAGAACCCAAGAACCAGATGGGTCTGAGGGCATCTCTGGGCTCTGCCTATTCCTATCTGGGCATCGTACATTTTCCAACTTTTCAGAGCCCCAGTTTTCTCTTTATAAAATGGGACAAATTCCATGTTCATAGGGCAGCTGTGAAGATTACACAAGCAAATGTGGGCACAACCACGTGCCATGCCTGGCGCATAATAGATGCACATTAACATCTAGTTGTGGCAGCTAGTATTTGTATGATTGTCCTCAAAATAACACGTGGCATTGGGTTAGGCACTGATCAATAAAATTATGCCATCTTCAAACTCAGTATCTAAGACAAAAATTAGCTTTCCTTCATTACAGCTCTCTATTCTTATTCATTAAAATAAAAAGTAGTAGTAGATGATGAGTGACTGCCCTGAGGTCACAGAGTAGCTCCTTGTGGCAGAAGCAGAATTAGAACCACGCATGTGCAGGACATCACTGCCTCCCTGTTGTCTCCTCCCACCCCAATTGCTCTTCTCAGCCTGCTTCTTTGCCCTGGCCTGGTCCTGGGGCCTCTCACTGCAGCAAGACCTGCCCTCAAAGCTCCCTAGGCATCAGCATATAAATGACCGGTTAAGCAATAATGACTCACAATCCGGGATCCTCTTTGGGCAATGATAGGGATGTGCGAGTTATTTTCTATATTTTAAAAAGCCACCCTAAAAACATACATGTACTCTTTTAAAAAAATATTTTACTGATTTTTTACAGAGAGGAAGAGAGGGATAGAGAGTTAGAAACATCGATGAGAAACATCCATCACCTGTCTCTTGCACACCCCCTACTGGGGATGTGCCTGCAACTAAGGTGCATGCCCTTGACCAGAATCAAACCTGGGACCCTTCAGACCACAGGCCAACGCTCTATCCACTGAGCCAAACCGGTTTCAGCCATACATGTATTCTTGATGAAGCCTGAAAAGATGAACTAAAATGCAGTGTTTCATGGATCTAAGCTGCAATTATGTAAATCAACTCTCTGTGGTAATATTGGTTGTTTCAACCTATGTAGAAACTGAAGGATGGTTCCTTATGTCTTTGATGAACAAAAATGTGAAATCTAAACAGTATGGCTTATTTCACAGTAAAAAGTCCAACCTCTAATCAATGTCACCTCAATCCTATAAAGAGGTAATATGCAAATTGACCATCACACCCTCACAATATGGCTGCCTGCTACCAGGCTGGCAGGGAGTGGTGGTTAGTGAGGGACTACTAAACAACTGAATGGTCATTGTGCAGGCTGTGTGGGGCAATCAGGATTGCTGGGGGTGGGGGGTAGTTAGGGGCATCCAAATGACTGAACAAGCAGGTTGAGTGGGTCAACCAGGTTGACAGGGGGGTTAGTAAGGGATGAACAAATAATTGAACATCAGGCTGCCTGGGGCGGCCAGATTGTCAGGTGGGATGGGCGGGGGGCAGTTGGGGCAACCAGGCCAGCAGAAGGTCAGTGAGAAGTGACCAGGCTGGCAGGTTGGGTTGCAGTTGGGGATGACCAGGCCAGCAGGGAGGGGGCAGTTAGAGGTGATCAGGCTAGTAGACAGGTGAGTGGTTAGGAGCTAGCAGTCCAGGATTGCGAGAGGGATTTTCAATTGCCTCTTTAGTCCTGATCCACAAGATTGGGCCTAAACCAGCAGTTGGACATCCTCCAAGGGGTCCTGGATTGGAGATGGTACAGTCTGGGCTGAGGGGACCCCCCTCCCATACACGAATTTCATTCACTGGGCCTCTAGTCTACATATATAAAACCCTAATATGCAAATAGACTGAATGGTGAACAACCAAACAACCGAACAACAGGTTGCTATGATGTGCAATGACCACCAGGGGGCATGTGCACAAAACATGGCAGGCATTGGCTGCAACGAATGGTGGAGCAGGTGAGCAGGGTTGCCAGACCAAGGCAGGTTGTCAGTTGCTATCATCAGGGAGAGCCTCGGGTGGTTACTGAAAATTTTTTGCTCCCATGCACTACGGTCCCACTGCTGGTGCCAGAGCCACCACTCACACCTGCTGCCAGCATCCAGTGCTGGCCTCAATTGCTCAGCATCATCAGCGGGTACAAGTGGTGGCTGCTGGTCCTGATTGCCTCTCAGGGCTTTTCCACCTCCCCCTGCTCCTGATGGGTGATCTGGGCAGCACCTCTGCTCACATCCATTGACAGTCCAGCCCTGCTCGTACCCACTGATGGTGCCGGCCCCAATTGCTCCATGCTGTCAGCATGTGGGAGCAGTTGGTGGGAGTAGGGCTGATAGCAGACAGGGGATCAAGAGCAGAGGCGGGAGGAGCTGGGCAGGGGCATGGAGGATGGGCCAAGACCCACCCCTGTGCCCACCACAGTCTCGCAGTCCACAGTTCCTTTGAAGGTGCACGAATTCATGCACAGGGCCCCTAGTCTATATAATAAAAACCCAGTGACCCTTATAGAGGAATGACCAGAATGACTAGCTGCTATGATGTGCACTGACCACCAGAGGGCAGATGCTCATCGCAGGAGCTGCCCCTGGTGGTTATTGTGCTCCCACAGCTGCAGCGCCTCTCTGCCAGAAGCCAGGCTCACAGCTGGCAAATGCAGCAGAGGTGGCGGTAGCCTCTCCCGCCTCTGTGGCAGCATTAAAGAGCAGTGAGCCAAGAGGTAAGGTGCTAGCAGGCAGACAGTTAGGAATAAGAGGTCCCAGATTGAGAGAGGGCACAGGCTGGGCTGAGGATCTCCCCTCCCCGCCACCCACACAAAGTTCATGCATCAGGTCTCTAGTAAACTCAATAATATATATAAAAAAGTCCAACCTGAACTCCATGGGAGAAATAAAAAATGCCCTTTATGCTAAAATGTATGGGAATCACTGAGCACAAAGGACACAGCACAAATATAGAATATCAAGCACAAAACAATGTGTGACTGAGGATCTGGGAGAAGGGACATTGTGCATGAATGAGACATTCAGGTGCCTACCCTGCCCACTTCTTTTAAGGAAACACTGCCCTGCCCAGTGTCCTGTGAAATGGAACAGTCTGGACTTACTATAAGCTGTTGAGAAATGCTCTAACCTGAGTGGCTGGGTCAAATTAAGAAGGCCAAGCACCCAGCCGATGTGGCTCAGTGGTTGAGGTTCAATTCCTGATCAGGGTACATGCCAGAGGTTTTGGGCTCAATTCCCAGTAGGGGGTTGTGAGGAGGCAGCCAAACAGTGGCTCTCACTCATCACTGATGTTTCTCTCCCTTCCTCTCTCTTCTCTCTCTGAAATCAATAAAAGCATATTTAAAAAAGAGAACGAGGCCAAGAATATTCAGTCATGTAAGGTGCACATATAATCATCTAAGAATGGCGCAAATGCATTGAATCACCAGGTATTCTGAGAAGAATGGCACGATTTCAGTTTAATTGGCTTCATCACCAGTACTGACATGCCAGGGACCTACCAGCAAGACAATGTGCCAGAAGTGGTGAGGAAGAGGCCTACAGGAACACAAACACACCTCCAGCTCTGGCAGCCAGAACGAAAGTGGCCACAGCGACCTGCCAGTTTCCGTTGACTGTGGCATGGCTATGGTTCCCATTCTCTTTGTGTCCATGCCATTGAGAACCCAGGGAGTGGGCCTATGGCCATTCTCCACATCTGGGAAGGGAAGGGACAGAGGAAAGCTGGGCAGCTCTGGAGAGGTGTGTGGATAGCACTTTAAGGACAGCTTGAATTTTCTGGGAGACACAGTATGGGAAATTAACCTGAAAGCTTCATCTATTATATGGAAGCTGTAGTACAACTACTTTTAGCTCTCTTCACAGAACAGATTCTTCCTGCCCCATACTCCAGCTCAGGGGCGCCCTAAACACCCAGCTGGGGTGAGGGTATTGCTGCTGGTGGTGGTGGTGAAAAGGGGTGGAGGGAGGAGAGAGAAGGGTCTGGAGGTCGGTGGGCTGGGACTGCGGGGAGGGAGATGGTCCACGGAGTGGGAAAGGTCGGAGAATCTGAAGTCTTTGCAATCCCGGTTCCAATCCCCTTCCAGCAAAGTTGAACCAAAAGCAATATTTCCTGTTTGCCCGTGCACTGGCCACCACCAGCTCCCTCTTGCAGGGTCGGAAGGCAGCTGAGACAGGAGGTATCGAGGTAAGGCTGGGGAGGGAGTTCTCTGAATTGTGTTGGAGCGAAGGCGTCGGGGATGAGGAGAATGAATCCCCTGTGGGGAAGGCGGCCGGGACCGCGAGGGAGAGGGAGAAGGACGGTGTACACTCATGCTGTTCATTATCCCGCGGGAAGATGGATGGTTTTCGCGGACGGTTGTCTAGGCGCCCAGGCTCGCTATAGGGAGACGTCAGAGCGCTCGGGCCCTCGGTGGAGGAGCCCCCGACCCCCCCGACCAGGCTCCCATATAAAGTCGGGGCTCGGCGAAGGCTGCAGCAGCGGCGGCGCGCAGGACGACGACGACAGCGGAGCTCCCCGAGGTCCAGGTCCTGCGCTCGCTGCTCTGCTAGGAAGGCGCACCCTCCGCCCAGCCCTCTGCGCGCCCCGGAGCTGCCCGTCGGGACCATGCGCGCCCGCGAACTGCCGCTCGTCCTGCTGGCACTGGTCCTCTGCCAGGCGCCCCGGGTCCCCGCCGCCCCGGTGCCGGCGGCCGGGGAGACCATGCTGGCCAAGATGTACCCGCGCGGCAACCACTGGGCGGTGGGTGAGTGTCCGGCGCGCGCTAGCCCTGGGCAGGACCAGTCTCCCCTCTCCCAGCGTTTCCGGGTCCTGGCTCTGGGGGCTGGGTTTGCTCCGATCTTTCTACCCAAATACCAGCCCTCTCTCCCCAAACCGTCCTGGCAAGCCGTCAGTCCCACAGCAGCCAAGGGCTGGTCCCTGGGTCTCCCCTCTTCCCCGGGGCACCCGAGCCAGCGCGCAGCTCTCCAAAGCACGAAGATCACCTTCCCTCCACACCTACCCAACACCTCCTTTCTCCAGCACCTTCTCTCTCTGAACAACTTTAGGAAGCCAGGTCCCCCAGAGCGTCTTGGACCCCTGGTCCAGCCGGGCGTGAACCTGGGCTGCGCCTTTGCGCCCGGCAAAGCCCCAGGTAGGGACTTTAAACCTGTTCAGCGAGCAGCGCTTGAATCTCCCCTTTGCGGTTCTTCTGAATTTTCTCGGTCTTCCTCCTGCCTCTACAGCGATTGTTTTTTCTCTGCCCATCTGCCCAGCCCTCCCGCTTGCCATCCAGAAGTCTGCGCTCTGGTAATCGCGCTTGCCCTCCACACGGATCCTGTGTTCTCTGCCCCCTGAGCCCTGCTTTCCTCCACCTCTCAGGACCTAGACGACCTTCCCCCTTTTCCCCCCAGCTCCTTTTCCTTTTCTTCTGCCTCTCTCGGCATGATGGGCTTGGAGGTTCGCTCATCGTGGACCCAGGGCTCCCAGCGACAAGTAATGGGAGGCAAGTAGCGGTTCTGAAACCTCGCGCTCACCCAATGCCACCCTGGGGAATCTCGGCCACGTCAAACAGCCTCTGGCAAATACAAAGCGTCCAACTGCCTCAGACACCTCCCCATAAAGCCAACCACAGCAACCCAACATTTCCTGAGGGAGAGGGGGGGGGGGTTGGTTATCATTAATGAGATTTAAGAGTGGTGGTGGGGTGCTGATGGTGGTGATAGTGATGCTGGTGATAGTGGTGATGGTGGTGGTGATGGTGGTGGTGGTGATGGTGGTGTTTTTATATGTTTGTTTTTATTTCCTTAGTTATCTGTGTAGAAAAGGGGGGTGTTGGAAAGATACTTGCTAATTCATATACATCAGATAACTTTCAGGTTCTCTGTGAGAAGACAGGATGAATTCATGGAAAGTGGTGAGGCTGAACCTGTCACTTCCCCAGCATTTCCCTGTTGCGGCAGCTTCTGTCAGAGAACTGGAAAGCCCTGATTGTAGCAGAGTAGTTCGCATTGCTGCTGAGTCATTGGTAAAGGCCGGCAGCCTCAATGAAAACATTTGTGATCTCTGAGGGGCATGGGAGCCCAGAAGTCTGGAATGGAGAGGAAAGGCTGGGATTAGTGAAGATGAAAAGCAAAAATAAAAACAACCTAGAAAGGACAATTGTGTATTAAGAAAGCCAAACCTAGGACTGATGCTTAAAAGGGCTCCTGGGACCTTAGAGCTAGTGGCCAATGTCCAGCCCAGCCACCATCTAGTGGCCTGGGAAGGTGAAATGAAATTCCAGATTTCCAACCTCTTTTTGTTCATCCATATTTTTTTTTGTCCTAAAAAGGCTTTATTATTAGGTAACCCTTGCAGGCCCAAAGGAGGACAAGAGTTAGCTGAGCAGCTAGAACCATGTTATTTCTGGTGCAAGCCAACCTGATTGCCGTAGTTCCAGAGCATATTTGTCTCCAGGGAGTTAGGGTTCCTGGCATTCATCACCCTTTCTGGTGGTGCTTGGGCATTCCTCACCCAAAAGCATACAGACAAGTGGCAACCTTAAATTTTCTTATTGTCTCAGACACACACTTTTTCCTTTACCCCCTTGGCTGGCTGTGCAGAGTTGGGGGTGGGAGGTGGGGGGCGGGGAGGAAAGAGAAAGGAGAAGGAGAAACTCATATTTGGGTCTAAAATGACGTGGTTGAGCAAAAGTTGCCTTTGGGTAGACATGCGCTCGGAGGGAGTGTGAGCTTTGGCTAGCAGGAATGATGTTTGGTTTTACATGTAGCTTGCCAGTCTCCTAAGGAAATGCCTGTGGTTTCTGTCAGGGAGGAGGGATTCTGAACACCTGTGCGCACCTCCAGACTGTCCTGACAGTGTCACACTGTTCCAGAAACTGAAATAAAGTTTAAGTATCTGTCCAGAAATGCCAGCTCCTAGAAGTACTTAGCACTTTGTCTTAATGGGTCGTTTCCTGAGTTTGTGTAATCTTCAAGTTTTGAGTTCAAGAAAGTTAATTTTGTTTCAAACCTGCTATTTTAGTGGTCTTTTTACGTGATTGAAAAGGACAAAAGCTCACCCCCTCACCCTCAGCCATGATTTTTTTTTTCAAGTGCCTGTTTTTTAGCCATGCTGCGATCTCCACTATTATGATAGGAATAAATAACAAAAGATGATGGGAGAAGAGGTGGAAGTGGGCGTAGCATCCATGTTGCCATAGAGATGATTACCCAGGGAATGTGTGTTTCCCTGTGATGTTATAGATGGTACCTTCTTCTTAATGACCAGTCTGTGGATCTGGGGGGTGGGAGTCGGAATACTACCCACCCTCCAAATATGCAAATATTAAAAACTCAAGGAAAGGTCCCAAGGGTCTACAGGATGTCTCCAAAAAAGGTACACATAAGTTAGCAGCTGAGAGCTCCATTTTGAAAAGAAAATGTATTTTAATAAGCACTGCCTTTAAAATTATTTAAAGTGTGTGTATACATTTTTTTTTTTTGAGGGACATCTTATGTGTGAAATCCATTACAGATGGTTTTTAGAAAAGTCCACAAAATTATTCAGGCCTGACAAAAATGAAGTTCTTACTTGTGAAAACATCTCCAGTCCCCCTCTGTTTCATTGGCAATAATGCCTTTCTCCTTTCCAGCGTGCAAACAGGATGATAGAACGTGATGGAAGGCAAGACGGACCGAGGTCATTACTGGGAGCATCAGATTCTAATCCTGCTTTTCCATCATCATGATTCAATTTTCTCCATGTAAATAAAGCCGAATGGCTTGCGACTTCCTGGGAAGTCGTGCAACATAATCACTGTATGGCTAAATGCAAGGCTATTGAGTGGCTACCCGGGCACCAGGTTGGCCAAGCGGACAAGTGAGGAGCCGATCACTCAGGATTCCTTCGGTGGGGACAGGGTCCTCAAGAGGGAGTCCTGACATTGTGTGATGCGTCTCAAGGGACTTGACAAGTGCTCACACCACTGTACAGTGAAGCCTCAGTTCAAGGCTCCCCAATACTCACAGAACTAATTTTCTGAGTCACATAACCAATCGTGATATATTGCTATATGACACCTATTTCAAAGATAATACTAGAAAGCTTTTTGCAGACCTCATTCTTATCACAGACCCCAGAGTGATTTTTCACTGCCTTATGTTGTTAGGAAGTTTAAAGACTTCAAAGCAGTATAGTATAGTAGAGTATAGACTGTGAGCTTATTTTTTAAAAAAATATATTTTATTGATTTTTTACAAAGAGGAAGAGAGAGGGATAGAGAGTCAGAAAAATCAATGAGAGAGAATCATCTATCAGCTGCCTCCTGCACACCCCCTACTGGGGATGTGCTCACAACCAAGATATAGCCCTTGACCGGAATCCAACCTGGGACATTTCAGTCTGCAGGCCGACACTCTATCCACTGAGCCAAACCGGTTTTGGCTATGAGCTGATTTTAATCCTAGAGTCTTTGCTTACCTGTGTGACCATCAGCAAGTCTCTCTCTCTCTCTTTTTTTTTTTATCACACTTACTACAGGGTGGCTCAAATAAAATGACCTGCGCTAAGACATCCTGTAAACAGCACGCTGCAGCACGCAATGACGTCACAGTGAGGGCTCCTCTGGTGGAGAGAGGTGCTGGGAAAGGGTCCTTTCTATTTTGTATGACTGAGATCTATCTAACGTTATTACCATAATGTTTGCTTTAAATACTTCTAATGTCAGTCAGCCCTGGAGCCACAGAGAGCTCTTGCCTTGTGACCTTTACATCAAAAGCACCATAGTTTTATTTGGAAATACTGTATAAGCTGATCATAGAGAGATGGGAAACATTGAATGAAGAAAGTAAATAGGATAATGTGAGAATATTGAAGCAGTGGGCTAAAGTGTTCAGAATGCAGACTTTGAATTCCCTGCCGCCTTTGACCCCATGGCTGTCCCCACTTGCATTCATGAATTTCCATGGTTTTGGTGATTTGGCCTTTTGCACCGCAACTTTTAATTTACATGGCACATGTACATGCCTGGAGCCTTTGATAGACGTTCGCTGACCACATTAGACACCCAAGAGAAAATCCTGCATTTATGTGGCTGAGAAGTATTGGTCAGAGCTTGTTTTCAACCAGTTTTTCATTACATGCTTTACAAACTGTAATCTCTAGGTGACGCTTCCTAGATTCAATCTCAGCTAAGTTCTGAGAAAGTTTAAATGAAAAATTCCTTTGGTACATTTGTATTACAGATAAGCGATAAACAACGCCCCCACCCCGTTTAAAAAAATCATACAAAGAAAAGCATCAAGACTTTTCTCGCAGTAGCAATTTCAGATCAGATCGTCTGGGGAGGATGTTTCAATTCCACCATTCAGTTGGGAATGGAACTTGGCGGACACAGAATTGGTGATAGAATTTTAGATATGGAAGGTTCCCTATATTTCATTAAGTCCATCTTGTTCATTTTATATTTGAGAAATTGAAGACAGGGAAGGCTAGATGACTTGGCAGAGGTCACCTAGTTCGTTAGCAGAGGGGCTGGGACCATACTCTGGGTTCCAGAGTTGCAGGTCTGAATTTTGTCCAGTTCACTTCTCATTTTGAACAAAAAGCAAAACCAGTCATCAACTAACTCTTAATAATAAAATGCTGTTTGTTCTGCATTTAAGAGCAAGAAGCACAAACATAATAAGGGTCCTCTTCAATTTCTACTCATCCATTGCTCCAGGTTAAATTTGTGGCATTCTGTGTTTGTTTTTGTCTTTTACAGGGCACCTAATGGGGAAAAAGAGCACAGGAGAATCCCCATATGTCTACGAGGGAGGGAGCCCGAAGTACCAGCTGCGGCAGCACATCCTGTGGGAAGAAGCTTTGAGGACTCTGCTAAGCCTCGTAGAAGGAAAGGGGACAGGAAGCCACCAATCACCTCCGCGGGGCATCCCTGGGTATTCTCCAGTCTACTCCAGATTCCGATTCCAAGGATAGCAGCAACTTTTCAGATGTAGGTTCCAGACTCAAAGGTATAAGGAACCTGGGGAAGTGGGGGTGAGGGTGGGAGGTGTTTGGGGAGAGTTGGGAGGAAAGGTCCAGGGGGGAAGAATAGAATTGTTCTTCCATATCACAGTGCAAACTTTCACAGCCACTGCATTAGGCCAATACCCAAAACACGTTAAGGAAATTAGTAGACAACTGCCATGCCACCTCTTTTTTTCAACATAATAGACTAGTGGCCCGGTGCATGAAATTCATGCACATTAAAAGGATATTAATTAGAGGAAATATTTTAATATTGCTATTTGCCCTTTCTCTATAATAGAAGTGTCAGAGATGAAAGAAAATTAGTAAAATGTATATGAAAATCTTCCTCCTGTCATAGTCTGGGTTGCTCTGTGGGACCAAGAGTCAAGTACCTGCCCACCTGTGGCACCTCAAAATCATCTGAGACCCAGACCCAGCTGGCCCCACTCCCATTGGGCAAGAATCAAACCCAGCTGGCCCCACTCTTGTCAAGTTCCTCGGGCTGGGGTGGGGGAGGGTGCAGCCTCAGGTCCCCCATCAAGCCCCAAAGGGTGCAGCCTCAGGGCCCCTGTAAGCCTCATAGGGTGGGAGTGCAGCCTCAGGTCTCCCAATGCACCCTCAGGTTCCCCGGCCTGGCACCAGGGCGGGAGCATGGCCTGAAGTCCCCCATCAAGCTCTGCGAAGCAGGGAGCATGACCTGAGGTTTCCCAGCCTGCTGTCAGGATTGGGGGCGCAGCCTGAGGTCCCCTGTTAAGCCCCACCAGGAGGGGGCTGCAGCTTTAGGTCTCCTGCCCCAGCCCAGTGCCACTAAGCCTCAGGTCTCTGCTGATTGCTCATTAAGGCTTGATGTGGGAACTCAGCCTCCTCTGTGGGCACTGCCATCCTTGTGATGGCATGATGGTCATTTTGCAAATTACCTCTTTATTAGATAGGATTATTTTTCCTCTTAGCACATCAAAATGTAAAAACTCCAGTTTAGGGGTTTTACTAGGAATTGTGTGTATTAGCCACTGTGAATGGATGGGATGTTTAGAACTTACAGCTCCCTTGGCTTTGGAAATTTCACCTCAATGAAAGTATGCTGTCATAAAAATTGAGAACATCTTATTATTGTCTTGTTCACAAAAAACACATGTCAAGAGGATTGTTTCTATTAGAAAACCATATATCTCTCCATGTTAGAAGGAATTTTAGTAACTTAGCAAGTCATTACCAGAATTAGCAATAGGACTAATTCTCAGAGGCTAAAGGACTTGTCTTAAATAACTATCCACATGTGTTCTCCTCTCCCACTTTAGTAAAAAGACATCAAGTCCTATTGTCAACTCTCCCAGAGCTGTAGTTAGAATTGCGAGCATTTCCTATGTTTTGATAACAAGGATATTGACTTTATGCAGAAAAGATCTGTGCAAATGTGCACTGAATCTACTAGATAGATATGATATCATGGCAAGCAAGCTCCTGAACTTTATCAGAAATTATGGCAAATCATTTTCAAGGTTAAGCTAATTTTATTTTAACTATATTCTTCTTAAAAAAATGAATGGAATTTTGATGCTATGGTTTCTATAACATAAAATGGTGTTTAGATTGGCCAACTCCAGGGCCTAATCCTAATCCTGCACTTGGATTGTCCTGAGTTTCAGTAAAGATTAAAGTTGGCCTTTGGGTTCTTCTTGTGATTTAGACCCAGTTTATTGTTCTTTGTAGCCTTAGGGTTTTTCCTCTCTCTTATTTGGTGGATAGGAAAGGGACTTGAGGAATTTGTTGCCACAGCTGTTACGGAAAGGAAGGAAATGTTCCAAGTTTGCCCTCACTTTTATTTTTTCTTTTAATTTCTTTATTGATTAAGGTATCACATATTTTCCGCTCCATTCCCATCCTAAACCCCTTCCCACATATGCCCCTACCCCCCTGTTGTAAGAGACTGCTCCCATTGTCCCATCAAATCAGTATAGAGAATAGAAAAGTTTTACCTATTAACATGGGAACTGCTCCAAAGGAAGCTCCAAATATAGGGAAGCAACATGCAACCAAAAAGAACTAAAAACCCTCTGACCACCCTGATAGTTTCCATGAAGAAACAGAAGAATGTTGGCCTCCTCACTTCCCTCCTGCCTCTAGATCCTCAGTCTTCCTGGGGTACACACTTCTTTTCCTCGTAGCTTTACTTCCTCCGCCTGAGCCAAACCATTCAAATTCAATATTTTCTGCCAATGGGAGGACTTCTATGGATTCTTTCTCACACCCTCAGCTGGCCCCTTTTATGACCTGTAGCTCAAAATGCCAGGTGGGTATAACAGCATCTTCAGGCAGGTTGGTCATCCTTAATAGTGCATCCTGGGCCCATGGAGGAGAGCAAAGCTAATTGGCTCGGGTGGGAGTTGAACCCCAGGCCCTGGCCTCATTCACACCTGGCCAAGCATTGAGCTGTAGAGCAGGTAATTTCTGGTCTGATAAAATAAGTTTCGTTATTAGGAACAAATTGCTGGTCTGGGTGTCAGAGAACCCTGAATTTCCAGAATTATGCTCTTGAAAAGCATAATAAACTCCAGTCTGGATGAAAAGTGTTTTCTCAACTCAGTGTGTAAAGGCTGCTATAGGGAAACAAAGAAAGGTTTTTTAAATGATAGCTTTTCATTCTTCTTCAGTCTTAATTAATTTGAACAGAAGCCACAACAAGCAAACCACAATAAGTGGAGAATTGGCAGAAACCCATAGAGGCTTGTCTTCCCAAGTTGCTCACCCTGCTACCACATATATTCATGGGTTTATGATACATAATTGTGTAATTCACAAATTGATTTGTGTAATGAGCTATTTCCAAAAGAAGCCACGTGAGAATTAAGATTCCACATTCCCTAATAGTCCCCCTACTCAGCTGCTATTTAGTCACAATTTCTGGGGATAATACATTTAATTGTTAACATTAGTCAAAATATATCAGAGTGCAAAAAGACCCCCCAAAATATAGTGCCTTCCAAAAGAGAGCTTGTTTCTCGGGACAGCTATGATTTTGGAGCATTAGCATGCTCACTCAGAACACCTGAGACTCGTGAAAGCACAGATTGCTGGGCCTCACCCCCAGCAGGTTCCAATTCAGTTGGTCAAGGTGACCTAGGAGTTTGCCTTGCTAACTAGTTCCATGTGATGCTGATAGTTTGTTGGGAATGGAGTTACGTCAAGTATAACTAAATACATTTGCCTAACTCTTTTTAATTTTTTTTTTATGGTGCTGATCTCTCTGCTCCAGGTTCTCAGTGTGAAGGAAGGAACCCCCAGCTGAACCTACAATGACGGCCTCTCTCAAAGAAGCAAAACAGAACCCTTGAGAATGCATTCCACAGGCATCAATTCTACTGGCTCACCCACCAGATTTTCTTTGTGCAAAATACTTAACTATTCTTGTATGTTTCAACCTTGACTAAATTCGTGGTTTTCAAGCAGCATCTTCTGGTTTGAATTTGTTTGCTGTGAAATTATTGTCCTTAGAGAGTCTTCCAAGTAATGCTCTTTGAATTTAGCCTCTGTGTCAATTACATTCCAGTCTCCGACCTGTTACCATTCACAATAAAAGCTTAAACACACAGTCCAAAGGGCAGGTAGTTCTCTTATTTCAGTTCCTAATGAGAGGACAGTGTGGCAGAGATTAATAAAAAAAAAAAAATTAAAAAAAAACTTGATAATGAACTTGTGTGCTCATTGATAAAGGCTGAATTTTGAGTTCTCCTTTCTGAAGGCCACTTACTGAATCCTTGCAGTGACTCACAGACTTTCTAGAGGCTGCTGCTAGAAGCTCATCCTCTGTTATTACTATCAGATAGACTAAGTTGAAGGTAGAGGCTGGCCCAATTCACCAATTAATAGTTACCATTTATTTAACCGTAACCATGACCGATACTTTGCCGAGGCTATTGATATTCTCCTTAGAGCAGTTTGATAAGCCAAGAACAAACATTATCGTCCAATAGGTAAGGAAACAGGGTTAGAGAGATCAAGTGACTTGGTCAAGTTCACATCATAGATGGAACTGGGATTCAAACATCCAAAGTCACCAGATATTTTTGCATTATTTAATAGTTTCTACATTACTTCATTTTAAACTCCCCTTTCAGTATATTTAAGTAGCACCATTATTCAAAATTTCATTTCTGGTCTTGGAGAAGTAGTTCCCACAGCCAGATTTAGGAGAAAATGAATTAAGGAGGTTCCCTTCCATTTTCAGAGAACGTAAACTGGCAGCTCATAACGCTCACTAGTCCTACTTTTATCATGACATTCACATGCTGTTAACATATTTTCAAGCTTCTTGCCATATGCTCAGATTTCCTTCATTTAGAAAGATCGCATTGGAAACAGTGAAGATATTTATCTTGCTCTGTTTTGATTGTCAAAGAACCACATACGATGTAATCTGCTCTTTTTAATTTCTTTTAAAACCATGCTGATTCACAACAGAGCCAGACCTGGGGAAATATGTGAAATGTGCTTCAACATATTTTTTTTTAATATATTTTATTGATTTTTTTACAGAGAGAAAGGGAGAGAGATAGAGAGTTAGAAACATCGATGGGAGAGAGTCATCCATTAACTGCCTCTTGCACGCCCCCTACTGGGGATATGCCCACAACCAAGGTATATGCTCCTGACTTGAATCTAACCGGGACCCTTCAGTCTGCAAGCCGATGCTCTGTCCACTGAGCCAAACTAGTTACGGCTGCTTCAACATCTTACCACCTTTCATTTCTGGGGCTCACCTGGGTCTCTTTCCCAAGAACTCAATCCTGAGCGGTGTCAACTGATTTCTGCCATGTGGGTAACGATGGAGAGGTAAGCCCTGTCAGAAGGATTCTCCCTCCAAAGGACATGCATGGTTGGTTGGCACTTCCGGCAGAAAGAGGAAGGCAAAGCCCTAGAACAGCCCCATCTAGACTGCCACTTGTTTGGTTGTCTCGTGAGAGTAGATG